AAGGGTTTGCACCAGGTCTGGGACACAGGGGACACCGTCTTAAAGGGGCCGTGTCCCCAACAAGTCTGGGGACACGGCCTTAAAGGGGCAGTGTCCCAATCTTCCTGATGTCCCAAAAAGGTGTTTAAAGGGCCAGCACCAGTCACATAAAGAGTCCATAAGCCCCAATATGCCCACCGACAGTCTTAAAGGGCCATACACACCAAATAAAAGTGTATACATTTTCACAATCTCCCAGGGGCCATAGTCATGCGGGAGGAGGCTGGCAAAGAGGCTTCTCCACAACCCAGGGAAACAGGGCAATTTGCCATTTAAAGGGCCCGCTACAAATAGCAGTTTGTAACAAGGTGTCAATCCATATCTGCCAAGTGACCCGATGTAGGGGGAACAGTCCCTATTCTGCTCTGTGTCAGTGTGTATCAGGGATCCTTAGGGCAGGTGTCAATCCATATCTGCCAAGTGACCCTATGTAGGGGGACCAGTCTCTATTCTGCTCTGTGTCCGTGTGCATCAGGGGCTCTGAGGACAGGTGTCAATCCATATGTCAAGGTGTCAACATGTCATATGTCAGGTGTCAATCCATATTGATTGTGATTTAGGAATGTTAGGTGATTTCTGCCCTTTATGGATTAAAACCAGACTCTGTATCAACTGTGTAATTTTCCATGGGAGTTTTGCCATGGATCCCCCTCCGGCATGCCACAGTCCAGGTGTTAGTCCCCTTGAAACAACTTTTCCATCCCTATTGTGGCCAGAAAGAGTCCCTGTGTGTTTTAAAATTCGCCTCCCCATTGAAGTCAATGGCGTTTCGGGCGGTTCGCCGGTTCGCGAACATTTGCGGAAGTTCGCGTTCGCCGTTCGCGAACCGAAAATTTCGGGTTCGCGACATCACTACCCACAATTAGATACAATACTAGGTAATAAACCACTTATTATTCATTCAAAAGCACCCAATCTAAGTACGCTACTAGCACCCACAACCAAACAAGAAAAGCCAAAGGAGAAAGACCTTGTGGGGCCAAGAACCAAGACTGGTTTCTGGAAATGTAATAAATGTAAGGCCTGCACAAATAATCCTAAACAACCGCCACATATTAAAGACTTTAGTCATCCTGTAACAAAAGAAATATTTAAAATTAAATCTCATTTAAATTGCAACACCACAGGATTAATCTACTTGTTAAGCTGTCCCTGTAAAAAAAAAATATACATAGGACGAACCAAAAGAGCTCTTAAAACAAGAATTGGGGAACATATTAGAAATATTAAAAAAGGCCTCCATTCACATAATCTTTCCAAACATTTTGATACTGTACATAGAAAAGACAGGATTGACGTTCATGGCAATACAGAAAGTTAATGTTCCATGGAGAGGAGGAGACTTGGAGAAAGAACTAGACAGAGCGGAAGCCAAGTGGATTTGCAAACTAGATGCCCTGGAACCTAGAGGGTTAAATGTAGACTTTGAGCTAAATGCTTTTTTATAAGATATGTTTTCACAATAAAAGAAGTCTTTTAAATTCCCCGCTTTTTACACACCTTTATTTTACTATGTAACATATTTTTATGTATGGAATATTATTTTAAATATTTCTTAAGTTAAATACATAATTAATATAACTGTCTAATAATTGACAGTTATGTCACGTCATCATCCATTTTTTAATCTATTATTTTAGATCTATTCCTAATCTGATTTTTTGGTCTTTGCTGTTTTTCCTTTGGTTCAATAAGTAAATATAAAGCTATTTTATAGATATTACCATAATGCTTATCATGAATTTATTTAGAAACTCCTGTAAACACATACAATGAATTATTATAAAATCACTTAAAGAGTTAAATAATAATTTTTATTTTTATTTTATCTTTTAACATTTAGCTCCTTTTTATTTGCAATATGTCACAATAATTTGTGGACAAGCACTGCTGGAAAAATGATTTGTAATAGAAGATAGCATTCACTATCACTATATTTGATATTTTTAGTGTTTATTTCATTTGATCTGTTTTACTGTTTTTAATGTCTTTTTGAAACACTGTAATTTGTTAAATGTGATTACTATTGTACAACTGTTATGATATAACTAAAAGTTAGTTAACAATTTATTTAGGCAATTAAGGGGTTAATAAGCCATGAATAACAATCGGCTATTTAAACCCATTGCCATACACATATGACTACCTCTGATGAAGTGAGATACTACTCACGAAACGCGTAAGGATAGAATCCAAGATTGAACTGTTTTTCGGCACTTACCGCAAATTGACACAGTTGCAATTGGAACGCACAGACGGGGAAAGGTGACACGCACACGGCTCCAAGCAGTCACTCCATCACTCACCGGCCGAATTGAGAGACCCATGGCTCACAGACCCCATTTTACATCAACGTATCCATATACACTCGGAAGAAATTGTGAGTGCAATTTTAATACCACAAATTTTGATTAAAAGCCTTTTTATATGCAGAAAACACTATGGATTCCGATTTTGTTTTATTGTAGATCGAAGGCATCATTCATTACTTAGGATCCTACTTTATGATCTTTAAGTATTTTACAGTCATAAGCAGTGTACATTATTACAACTTACAGCATTTAAGGAAGAAGATATGCCTTTTGTACTATATTCAAAAAACTTGTTTAGCAGATAAACCCCAGTCAAACTCTGTAACTGAGGCTAACTGCTACAAGCTAACATTGTGAAAACTATTTACAATAACAGTTTCAAACAGTATTATTGTTGCAAAGACTGTGGACTTTTCATTCATTTTTTTCAGTGACTTTTTCAACACATATTTTGTATTTGTATTTGATCACATATGTTGCTATATTTGTGGACTTTCACATAGTGACTTTATGCCAATATTGACTTTTGGATCCATTTTTACTATCATTAATTTTATAAGTACTAATTTTAAGACAATCTACTTACTCAATGTTTTAATAGATACATATCCTATCTCACTCCTGGATACTTATTAGAGCATATCTAATATTCTATCTTCATTTGCACTTTTGGGGTTTCTTGGTGGTAACCCCATTATTTCCAGTTTGAGTGGTATCTCTATCCATACTATCTACTCCATATCTGTGAGATTTTTAATCCCATGAATACTTTTAACTTTTATCTCTAGTCTAATGGTCAGCTAGGGAGCATAGTCCAAAATCAAGTTCAGAGCTGGTAAAATCCAGGAATTAGAGTAGGGAGCCAAGGGTCAAAGGTTAGAGACAGGTAAACAAGGTCAGGGTCGAAGCCAAAAGCTAAAAGCCAATAAATCTACCAGAAAATGCACCAGGAACCAGAATCAGGAATAAAGACTTTAGGAGACTGGGGCAAGCATCAGAACAACCAAGGACTGATCAGTGCTTGGTTATTTATGTGACCAGCCCCCACCCCCTGCACGCTCTGTGGCTCTAAAGGAGGAGCAAGGATCCAGGGCCATCTTGGTCATATCACAGCTCCATCCACCTTCTCTCAGGCAACTCTGCTCTGCTCCGATCTATCCTATGTCTACATGGCAGCAGCCATCTTGCTGCCGCAGTACCTTCACTGAGCCTGGCGCAGATGGCAGATGCCAGATTCAGACGGCAGGAAGCACCACAGGTGCGGCAAGAGCCAGTGCCACAACCCTAGAGGACCCGCTTCTAGGATGCTGGCAATATTACAACTATAGCGTTTATAAGTAGAAGGGGATAACCAATTCTTTTAACATATGGTTTGTTTTTCTTATCTTTCTTAAACATTGAAAACTATGATCTTAAAAGTTTCAATTCCTCCCTCCCATCCCCCCCCTCACTCCTTGTGTCTAAATAATGTAGAAATGAACCAGGCATTCCGTAGAACTGCTCTGGTGGGAACTTTCAGGGTATGCATATTTTAGTTGACCTCTTTTAACCCAGCTGTAAACGCAGATATATAGCATACATGCTACTTATCTTCAGGAGTTTGTAGGCCTCCAGAATTAATCTGACAGCAAAAGGTGAAAGCTTAAGACAGCAGGACAATATAGCACATAGAGCAGCCATTTATTTAAGTTACTTTTAAATCCAGATTTACTTGTTGAAGGTGAAACAAAATAGATTGCCGTGATTCATTAGGGAACCATACTCTACACTATTTGCTGAGATTTATTTTAGGAGACACACTCTAAGTTCACATTCTTTACTTTGTGAAGAACTACTGAAAACGTTTTTCTATTCCCTTAAATTCCACATGAAATCTAGCGAACATGAAGAATGATCTGTATAGGGAATATCTCAATTATTTAATGTTTTAAAGAAATTATCATTTATAAGATATTTTACATTTTGATTTTGGGCTTTCCCAACTCACTTGTTTTAAGAAATATCAAGGCAATTAAGTTTAGACTATAATTTATGGCTCCATCTGTTTTTCCCCTTGATCTCCCTGTGGTATTATTACAGTGAAACAATACTGCCTTTACTATTTAGCTGTAGGGTGGAATTACTAAAGTTTCTCAGAGTCAGAAAAGTAAAATGAAAGAAAATGAGAGACGTTATTCAAACAATACAGTTCAGAATGTTAAAAAACACATTTACAATCAAATGTATACTTAATATTTATATAGCATGTTCACATAGTGTAGAAAAAGGACATGTGGAATGCATGCATTTTAAACATGTTGCTATAGCTGCTGCCTACCTTAATATTAAAAATTATATAACCACTTAGGCTGGGGATTTATTAATCAGTCCTCCGAGTGCTCCCAGTCCTTACAGGCCTTTAAAATGGCATCAAATAGCACTTGCAAAGTTATTCCTTTGAATAGTCACATGTTAATCATTGCAATCCCAAACACAGCCATGATTTTCTTGACTTGCATTCTGGATACAAATTGGGGATGTAAATCATTCTATACTTATACCATTAAACAAAAAAATAGCACGGTGCTATGTTTTGCCTGTTGTTTTTTTTTTTTTTTTTTTGGGGGGCCATGCTAGTGATGTGCAATTTATTTTGTTCTGAATCAAATTTTTTTTAGAATTTGTCAAAATTCTGCACTTTGGAAGCAACCAAATTACCAAACTGATGGAAAGCAAAACAAAATGAAAATGAACAGAAAAGAAACTAATAATTTCAGATCCATTCATTTTGATAAAGATAGCAAATTACGAACTTGATAACGTCTACTAAACAATGGAAAGAGCAAAATTAAGAAAAGGGCTTTTCTGAATTTGATCTTCCAGACATTTTGCAGAAAACCCCCTAATTTGCTATACTTATGTGGGTTAACCATAATTAAGGATTAAGTAAATTAGGGTGCTATCTACTAAAGAAATGAAAACGCTAAATTAAGAAAAGGGCTTCTGCTTTTAGCAGTTTAGCAGATAGTGTCCTTACATGGCATTGTCATATTTATGATACCACATAAGGTCGCTGCTTAGCAGATAGCTTCCTTATTTGGTAATTGGTATCCTTATAGGAACCCCACAGAATGATAGCAAATTAGGGAGGCATGTACTAAACAGCTAAAAAAAATAATCAAAATTAAGAAAAAGATTCTCTAAATTAGTACTGTGTAACTTTGTGGTTGCTATCTTTATCCTTCATTCATTTCCAATAGGGAGTAAAGGACTTCAGAATTTCGGAAATGTTCGGACTAAATTTGGTTTGTCCGCACTGATAATTTATGAATTTCAGACGAACCAAAATTCTGAAAATGTATGAATCGAAACTAAACAAATTTTTATCTATGCACATCACTACCTGCATGCAGTGCGTCACTATCTTACACATTTATAATTTTCTGACAAATTCTTATATTAAAATTATGCATCTGTGTTATTATAAAGCCTGGCTTGTGTACACCTGTGTATAAACCCATATTTAAAGCTAAGAATATATTGGATATTATGATTTCGTGTCTTTTATTTTGCTTGTTTCTGACAGCATTAGTATGAGGTAAATTATATTTAAAAAAATATCCACTATCCTATTTAATATTGTAGTCTGATAGTTTCAAATACTTTGTAAGGCCATCATACTGGAAATCTATCTATCTATCTAAAAAATATGTCTGGGCATATGTCTGTAAATTTGACTGTAAATGTATCTCTTTCTGGTTGCAATGTTATCCCCCTGAGAAAAACCTGTGACATTAACCAATGTCCCTTTCTTTGACCCCTACTAATTTTTCCTTAAGGGTTGTGTGACAGCTGTACTACACATGAAGAATGACACTTTAATTTATAGACAATAATCATTCCAGACGCTGCTGTAAATTGTATGACCAGATAATGTATTTGTTGTGTATATCTGCCTCTGTGGTAGCAAACCTTTTATATTTAAACAAAACTTGTGTGGGGGGTATATATTAACCTTTTTGGTTCCAGAAGGTACAAGCAAGGCATCACAAACTTGCCAAACTTGTCCAGTTACCTAGGTTTTAGGTATAGCATGATGTTCTGGAAGTGGCCTTGTTTGATTGACTTGGAGATTAATTTGAGTCCAAACTGCTCTTCGACAGAGAGTTTAGAATGTCATTGCTCCAAGCTAAAATTTACTCAAATCACAAACCAGTCGAAATGAGCAATGGAAAGCAGGTTTCATTTCAAGACGTGATTTTGAATTTCACCCGTAGCAACAAAAAAAGAGATGATTGGTGGGGGGAAAAGATGATTCCTGGCTAGGACACAATTACTAAATGTTGATTATATTCACAGATCTGTGTCAAGATTCACTTGATCTGTGAACTAAATGGTGGCAAAATCTTCATAGATCAAATGTTTCCTGCAAACGATATGCATTTTATTACGTATATATTTTGCAGTACACTGATTGGCCCATTTCTTAGCCCTTTTGGTTATTCTGATTTAGTTTCTAACCTGGGTACCAAATTCCCGTGAAGCTGAACCAACCAAAAACTTGGTCTTTCAAAAAATGTTATGCGCAAGTCTATTGTTTTATGACAATTCCTTCTTCAACAATCAGATGTGAGTTAGACAGTTTGCAGGCACCTCTCTAAACCAACACAGGTAACTTTTATATATCTGTAGTATATTAGACGCATAGAGATACAAGCTGCACACTAGAATCTAATATTGCCAACATCTTGTACCAAATACTTACAGTTTATAAATAATAATACACATTTGAATGTATACATGTATTTGTAACATATATAATAACCTTATTTCATATTGTACATGTTTTAAGGCCATAGGCCTGTATTTGTGGGAGGAGTTTAACTCTATTGTTAGCCTATAAAAACCAAAATCACCCTCTTATCTGGGTCATCCTCATTCAGGTTATACATTACCTAGGTTACCACTTGGACTTCCGGTTCAGCTCTTCGCGGCAAATTTCCTGAACTCACCTTGATCCAGTGTTGTATCTGTAGAAAATTAACAGAACGGAAGCTTAATATAGAAAAAATCTATAGGGCAGTGAAGGGGTTAACCCTAATTAGGAATATAGAAACAAGAGGAAAGAAACATTGTCCTGAATGGATATAGTTAAAACATAACTTTTAATCAGAAAAAAATCAGTAAATAGTGTGTAATGTAAAAACTTACTCTCAGAAAGCCCATATATATATATATAAAGGGATTATAGAGAGATAATATGTGGAGTTAAAAAAGTATTAAATAGGTTGACATTGATAGAAATGTCATTGCAGATAGGCAGAATGAAAATGTCAGTGTCTAGCTCTAAGTATAGAGGTCTAATTGCTGCTTGATGTGGCTGGATAAATCGCTCGAAAATGTAGCAGGAAAAAAGGTTCAAATGTTGCAATATACAATGACTGTAGCATATATTGATACCTTAGAGAGGGTTCAGAGAAGGGCTACTAAACTGGTTCATGGATTACGGGATAAAACTTACCAGGAAAGGTTAAAGGATCTTAACATGTATAGCTTGGAGGAAAGACGAGACAGAGGGGATTTGATAGAAACATTTAAATATATAAAGGGAATCAACACAGTAAAGGAGCAGACTATATTTAAAAGAAGAAAAACGACCACAACAAGAGGACATAGTCTTAAATTAGAGGGACAAAGGTTTAAAAATAATATCAGGAAGTATTACTTTACTGAGAGGGTAGTGGATGCATGGAATAGCCTTCCAGCTGAAGTGGTAGAGGTTAACACAGTAAAGG